CACCAAATTGAAACCTTTTACAAGGAATCATGTCTGCAATAACCACAATGCTTGTGGTCAGAAAACAAACAAAAAACATACTCTGATAAGTTTTGCATTCTCTTTGGTTCTTTCGGTAAAGTCACGTAGATAGAACATTAATAGATCACAACGTTTCGATCGCTTCGCAAGCGACCGTCTTCAGGTGAGAGAGAAAGCTACTAAAACAAGGTCTTATATAGTCCTGAGATGGGCGCAGCCTCAGGGTAAGAGGGCAGGGCTAGAGATCGTCTCCCTGAGGCTGTGGAAGTGGCTATTGTATTGTGAGAAATTAGCATGTCAATGCACGAGCATAGTATGTCGCAGCATCGGTGCATGAGCGAGAAGAACATCCAGCCCGTCAATACAAAGACATCCAACCTAACAATGCAACTCAGAGAGTCAGCTAAAATCGCAGGAAGGATGGAAACATCACAGCAGGTTAAGACTTTACCTGGTTAATCACGTCCGTCCAATGATTGCTCAATTTGTACCCATCTCGGTTGAAGTTGTGTCTGTGTTTATATATCTGGATGGCTTCATGAATAAATCTCTGATGATAGCCAGTGGGTTTGCAGAGTACTTCATCTTGGAAAAATAAATTTCGTGTGTGCCCACAGCATTAAAACAATGATCAGCAATGCCAGAGGTATTGGTCCTGTTTTGATCAAGAAGAGACCTGATGGCTCGTTTGGACATTGTCTACAGGAAAGCCACTCACACGGATGCCTATCTAAAGCCTGACTCCCACCACCATCCAGCCCAGAATAATTCCCTCATCAAAACACTACACCATAGGGCCCATTGCATCTCCGACCAGCACCACCTCGCCAGTGAGCTGGAGCACGTACACCAAGCCCTCAGGATAAATGGAATTCTGACCGTACAATCCACAAAGCTGTCTCCCCAGCCATGGGGAGACAACCATCTGAGGACCTAATCAAAACCATCACCTTGCCATACATAGCAGGGGTTAACAAAAAATATTTCCAAAATCTTAAACAAACACAAGATCCAGGGTTCGTTTCAACAGTACACAAAATCCGTGATTTGATCCCATCCGTAAAGGATGTGATTCCTGACATGCAATATCCTGGTGTCTACAAACTAAGTTGTGGCTGCGGCAGCAGTTACATTGGGGAAACGAAACGACATGTCTCGGACCGTGTTCGCGAACACAAGGCAGATCTGAAGCACGGTAGGACCAATACCACTGCCGTTTCTGATAATTGTTTTAACGCTGTGGGCACACACGAAATTGATTTTTCCAAAACGAAGGTACTCTGCAAACCCACTGGCTATCATCAGAGATTTGTTCATGAAGCCATCCAGACCCATCTCAGGCCTATATAAAACCTTGTTTCAGTAGCTTTCTCTCTCTCACCTGAAGACGGTCGCTTGTGTTGTGATCGAAACGTCGTAATCTATTAATTTTCTATCTACTTTACTTTACCGAAAGAACCAAAGAGTATGGATTCCGGCAGTCACGGAAGCTTCAAATCAAAATATATGCATTGTTCTTAAAACTGATTGGTCCACACCAGAGCTTTTGACGTCCTCTGGTCTAACACCGTTTGAGACGAGGCTCAAAAGAAAGCTGTCTCTGGTGTGGACCAATCAGTTTCAAGGACAATGCATATATTATTAGAGTATGTTTTTTGTTTGCATTCTGACCACAAGCATTGTGGTTATACTGGTAGGAACCTCCTGGTTACACCAGCCCACGGGATTATTGTGTCCGTCCGTCCGTCGTGCATCCAAAAATGGGAGGGGTGGGGCTGGGTGGGGAGGGGGGGGTGGGGGGAGGGTGGGGAGGGGCTGGGTGGGGAGGATGGGGCTGGGTGGAGGGTGGGGCTGGGTGGGGAGGGGCCCTTATAAAACTCAACGTTTAACCTACTCACGCCGGCTTGTGCCCGCCCTCAGTCGGCAATATTTGCGGAATACACTACGCCGCCGTTGACCCTGGCCATTGACCGAGCAACCAAACGTTCCTACCAGCTCCCTCCGCAGGAATGTGTTTGCAGACATGATTCCTTGTAAAAGGTTTCAGTTTGGTGTTTAAACATCTTAACACCTGTTTTGTTGCCAGAATAAAGGGGAAACCCCTATTATCATATTTTGGTACTGGCAAAGGAGGTCCCATGATATATCATTGAAATGTTTTAGTATTTTTAATTAAATGTTAGTGTTTTTGTCTTTTGCTTGAGCGCGTAACTGAAATGCACCGCGTAAGTGTGAAGCGCGTCCCTGAAAGATGAACCGCGCAACTGCGAATTTGCGCTGTGAGGTGGGGGGGGACACATCACACAAGGGACGCCTGGAAATGCAAAGAATGTCAAAATGCAAACACCAATCATAATTGTTCAGTGCCAACCATCATAGTGAACTAAAATGCAATTTTCACATTCCACATTTAAAAACTTGCAAATAGTAAAACTTAGTTCGACTGTGTTGATAATTGCTTTGCTGTTAAGATTGTGGACATCTGTCAAAATCTTGCATACCCATTTAGCAAGGATCTTAGAATAATACTATAACGTGTAAAGCCCTGTGTTAATTCACTGCTGGATGAAGGCCTCCGAGGCCATTTCAGTGGCTGGTCAATGCGGGTCGATGAATGGCTGTCAGAGGGACCCAGGGGCATGAATCAGATCTCACTCGCCACTGATGTTAGCCAACGTCGGGAGTCAAACAGGGGTATACTGGTTTCATAGGGCAACGCACTATCCATTGTGCCGCCACTTCCGCCGCTGCAAGGATATTGTGTTATTCAATTTTTGAAAGCACAGCACTTTATTATAATTGTCGCAGCTTATCGTCAATGTCTAGTGCAGCTGCATGTAGAGATGCTGTGCAAATTCGGGACATGCGCATCAAGAGAATTTGAAGAAAGGGGGACTTTTGTTCTGGAGAGCGAAGGAACCGAATACGTTCATGCAAAGAGCAAAATGAGAGTGCGGTCAAATAAAGATGTAATCTGAAGCGGAGAAGGGGACGCTTTTGAACCTGAATGTGAACGCGGAACGAATCTGCGGTACGGACGGCCAGGCAGAGGGAATCCCAGACAACGCCAGCAGCAGCAGCAGCAGAGACGGAGCGACCCTCGTGAAGTGAAGCTTCACCCCAGGGGGTTTGAACATGAATAGATTGTGGGTCACAAGACATCAAAGAAACAGTTTGTAAATATTGTAATTTACAAGCTGTTTTGTAATACCCACGGGTTATCCAACCCCTCACGAAACTTTAACACGTAGCAAGCTTTTGCGACCAATGTCATCCATAATAGAGGTTTTTGGGTTAGATCGCGTAAATATAAATGTGTCGTCAAAACCCGACACAGCCAACAAGTCAGGGTAAGTCAGGGTTGTCACGTAAACAGAACATGCCAATTCGTCACTAGTACAGCACACCGATGTGTTGAAGAGCCAAGCCACAACATTTACAAACTGAGTACGACGTTTCGCCAGTAATTACAACTACCTTCAGGCATCAGGTGACAGCCAGATTTGTGGAGAAGTCTTACTGTGTCTATATTCTTTGGGTCTTTTGGTAAAGCCACGTAGATATGAAAATAATAAAATATTACAAATATTATCTTACTGTTTCGTTCCTGATATAAAGGCGTAGATGTGGTGACCACCTTCTGCACTCTTGCACAATGTGGGGAGGGATTACTGAGGCAAAGTACGTTATGCATGTACATTATGCGAGCCCTTTGAACGTGTCCTTCCTGTCTATTGTGTTTTTTAAAATAGCCCTACCAATGGTAATCACTATTCAAGTACGCTGCCCTTTGTAGGCATGTATTTAAATAATGTATTATTTGACTATTCGCTTCCACGCAGCACTAAGATGGTAGCTATCCGAACGGTTAAAGTAATTTTGATATCTTCCAATTTCGCTAGATTATCTAATTAGTCTTGGCCAGTAGTAGCTAGTTTTGCGCAAAACTTCAACATTATCAGTTGCGCTGTCAGCAATAGCAGAACACGCGTGCCAACAAGGACACTCTTGATTTTGATCATGTTGAAGTTTGAAAGTCATAACACAGTGTGACCCTGGCACTTCATGGCAAACATAGTAGCGCATCGAAACGCTATCGCCAAGTTAAATATGCCTCTGTTGGTTGGTAATCGTGTACAAACAAGCAAAGTCTGTGGGTTTATTTTATAACGGTTTTGCTCGACTTGCCACAATTATACCTCGCGCCATCACCCGTGGGTGATTCCTCTTCACGCGTGCAACGGGGTGCACGTCTTGGGGCTTAGCAAGCTGATGATTTCCATCAACAGGTACGATGTGCTGACCCCAATATCAGACGTTCAGTGAGAGGATCCACAAGACTGGGCCCAACACAAGGCAGGCGTCCACCTCACAACCTGCAGCATCCAACAGAAGGAAGGAATCAATAGCCAAGTGTGTGGTGGCATTGTCACCACAGGACGTGGTGACCTCTTGACCTCCACCAACAAAGAGTGTTTGTGTGTGAACGGTGGACATGAATGAGAGCGGTGGATGTGTACAACAGCTGATGTGGACGTTTGTAAATGTCATCGGCTGGAGATGACGTGAGCTTGAGATCCGTGTGGAGTCTGGGAGAGCGTGGCGCTCTGGATGTCTCTCATCCTGTGTGGGGAGAGTGGTTCGCTGTCGTCCGTTGCTTTGGACAGAAACGGCTTCGGTTGGGAATGTAACCATTGGATACAGTTCTGCTGAATATGACAATTATAAATGCAGCATTTCCTGTAAAATGTAAACAAATAATTTCCTTGTTCAGCAATAGGCGGATTTGATAGTGTTAAATATATATAACATTTTCTTTCATTCGCACATGTATTTCTCTTTTAAATTGCATTCTACGATTTGTCAGATTCCAATGCTATATATAGCCAAGCTTAGGATAATCTGGGTAGCAGAGAGTGGCGCACACTGTAATAAACTGAGGCTGAGCAGCAGATCATCATCACCACGATGGACATTGAACAACGGCAACGATGAGGGTCGCGTGAAGTATCCAGCTTCCTACGATCGTAACATCAGCAACAACAGCAGCAGCACCGTGCTGGCCTCATCACTGGACGAGAGACAAAGGCGGCCATGGGAGAGTGGACGATTCTGGAGCGACTGCTCGCTGCAGCCGTTCAACAGCACGCGACGATGATAGGGCGGTAAGGCTCAGCGGGTGGTGACTGATATAACCTCTGCAACGTACGTGATCATATTGTTCGCATTATTGGAAGGTGGGAAACCCAGATGATGTTAGTTGCGGATAAATAGGTTCTTGGACGCCCACCTAAAGAAATGGTCATCGTGTTCACTGGCTGCCTCAGTCGGTGGCACTCTTGAGCGCCGGCGGCGTTCCATGATTTGAACACAAACGTGAAGTAAACTTTGCGCGCGGCCGCCGCAAGATGTAACGTCGTTCAGAATGATGTAGTCATATATAGTCATCTCTATAGTCATCCTTCAGATTCCCCCGGCACTCGCTCCTTCCTCTTAACAGCTCTAGCGGTTTTAGACAGTGTCTTCTCTGCCTTATCGTCGTTTTCCCTCCTGTCAGTGCACTCCGAGCATAATCTTCACACCAATTTAGGTAAATAATTCGGTCAACTTTTTGTACCGCGACATTTGCTTTGATATTCATCTTGGGGCCCAACTTTTCAGCTTCATTAATTTAGCGTATTTATAATATTTCCTGTTCATTCCTGTGGGTTATTAACATGGACTCTGTCATCGGCAAATGTGCAATTGTTATGTGTGTGCAACTTAATTGTATGATTTCAATTGTGTGGAAAAAAACAGTGAAGAAGAGATACCATTGTGCGTAGCTTTGTCGACCACGCAAACGCATTTGACTCACTGGACAAACTAAAACACAGATGTAGAGTATACACATTTGAGATTGCATTAAAAAACAAATTCAAATGATAATGAGAGTCACACAAGGAGACGTGCTTTCACCAGCAACATTAGACAAATAAAATAAACTCCGTCCAACATGAAATATTATATTCGAGACTGTCACTTCCAATGAATGGGGTTTAATTGAACTGAAGGGCGGTGTGAGATTAGCAAAGTAATTGCCACTGCGTCGAGCCCGTTTGGCAAAGCGCGTTGGGCAAATCTGTAAGCGTGGCAGCGGGCACGGTGGAGCGTTCCGTCTCGACGCCGCTGCCGTCTTTCATTGCAGGATCCTACTGACCGTGGTGGTCATTTTCCGCATCTTGATCGTGGCCATTGTCGGAGAAACCGTCTACGGTGACGAGCAGACCATGTTCGTGTGTAACACTCTGCAGCCCGGCTGCAACCAGGTCTGCTACGACAAAACCTTCCCCATCTCCCACCTCCGCTACTGGGTGTTTCAAATCATCATGGTCTGCACGCCGAGCCTCTGCTTCATCACCTACTCGGTGCACCAGTCCACCAAGCAGCGGGACCGATTCTCGATCCTCAACCCGCCCCTGAGCGATGCGCGCGAGAGGCGCGTCTCCTCCACGCTGCACCAGACCCTGGAGGGGGCGCAGGAGCCGCGGGCTGGGCAGCTCTTCTCCGTGCTTCGCCCTCCCGCACTCGGTGAGGCCGAGCGGCGCTATCGACCCAAGAAACGCGACTACAGCAGGACGTTCAGAACGAGGATGAGGGCCGTCTTCGGCTGCCGCTCGGAGAGCCGCGGACACGGAGGAGGAGGCGACGGTGGTGGTGGTGGTGGTGGCCTGTCGCGGGAAACGAATCCTCCGCCGGTGGCCACGAGGGAGAAATACGGCAGATTCTACAGACAGGAGAGCATCTCTCGCTTTTACATCCTGCAGGTTGTCCTGCGCAACGTGTTGGAGATCGCATTTCTCATCGGGCAGTACTTCTTGTACGGCCTCTACGTACCATCCGTGGTGGCGTGCGAGCGTCACCCATGCATCAGGCAGGTGGAGTGCTACGTGTCACGGCCCACCGAGAAGACGGTCTTTCTGCTCTTCATGTTCGGCGTCAGCGGCTTGTGCTTGGTGCTCAACCTCGCAGAGCTCAACCATCTGGGCTGGCGCAAGATCAAGGGGGCCGTGCAGGGTGTCCGGACTCGCAAGACGTCGTTTTGGGAGATTCGGCACAAGGACTTTGAGCATGCAATACGGACGCCTCGCTTCAGTCGCACGCACTCGAGCGAATCTGCCTACGTCTGATTACACAAAGCTCACAACGTCTCCCCACCCCGAAGTCAGATTTCCCCTTTGCGCACTTGCCCTGGCACGAACCCGGTGCTGCACGCTTCTCCTGAGCCTGCACCAAAGCTTTGCCCATCGCGGGGTTTCTGGTCGCGAATTTGCCGAGTGTTGTATACTAACCCTTCTTCCAAAATTGAGATTAATAATATTTGATGATATTTTTATATATTATCTTTTTACTTGTTTTTTTTAATGAAGGAAACACACCAAAGCGCAGCAAACTGCAAAACACCAGGTGTTGTTAAGTAATGAACTGGAGGAGGGCTAGGATGGCAGAATTTGCAACCTTGCTTCAAGGAAAGATAAGGCCTGATGAACGGGCACATGTCACCCGTGCAGGCGGCAGAGACAGTGGGAGTGTCAGCCAGACATAGTTAAGGCAAAAAGCCCAACCATCCTGCATGGTTTTAAAGTAACGTCAAAATTCGAAATTCAACAACAGAGTAGGCTAAATTATCGATCCTCGCGCTCGCTCAAATTGGAGACCAGGCTGCGAGCTACATCAATGAACCATTGCCCATTTGCTAATCCAATACTGAATGTTAATATTACTGAAGTCAAAACGAATTCTATGACCTCAGCACATGGGCAAATAATAGGGCAGTGTCGACTCAAAGGCAATGGAAGAAAGCAGAGGCGCCTTTGTCTAAATCACAACCACAGAAAGCCAGGAATCATCACTGATTGTGTGTTTAGGGATTCCGAGCTAGTTGGAACACGTGCACAGGGGAGGGAGCTGATTTAAACAACCCTGCACGTCTGAACGTGAGGGGGCCTTTGACCTGAAATTAAGAATAACACTCCCAGAGCAGAAGGTTGGATGGCCACAGTGAGACGAGAATAAGAGTGGTGTATATCTCTCAAGGAGGCAGACCCAGCTGAACAACAAGGCTGCGGGGGTCACCAGAAGTTCGCGTTCGCCTAGTTAAGACAAAAAGCTCAATTATTCTGTATTGCTATTAAAGTAACGTTAAAGTCGGAATTTAACAACAGGGTAGGCTAAAGTTATTGATATTCACACCCACTCCAATTAAACCAGGCCACAGGTTACGCCTACTGAACCATCACCATCATTAAGTCAATATGAAATGTTATTTCCATACTTTAATACTTTCTATACAACTCGACCCGAAGCATATGACAATCAGAACCTTCCTAAGTCAGAATTGAATCGCACCCAGACAGGAGCGAATAGTCGATATAAGGTTGAAGAGGGAAGGAAATTAAGAGCACGGCGAACTGCAAACGTAAGCAAAAAGCCGGGAACGACACCAGCCCAGCAACAGCGAGTCGGGCTTCGACAGGCCATAAAAGTAGAAATAATAACTCCCGGGGTCAGGGGACACAAGAAGAAGCAGGCAGACAAAAACCAGAACTGACTCCAAGGTTCAACCGCCCTCACATACAAGGAGTGACGGAAATTAATGAGGCCTTGAGTTAACGGCGTCAGCTGGACAGCAACAACCACGGCGAGCAGAGATAGGGTGGGGCAAAGACTGCGGGACTATGGAATGCAACTTCGTGTCAGTAAAGCCCTGACAAACAAGTTAAGTTAAAGACATCACAATACATAATATCGTACATAACATCAATGTTAACGCTATTCACCGTAAACTATATTCCGCTTATATAACCATGCAGACACCAAGGAATACGAATTCCTAGGATCAAGAAACTTACCCCTTAACCTAAGATATCGGAAATAAATTAATAATAATAAGCATATGCATGAAAAGACAAAAGTAAAACTTATGGAAAAGCCAGGATAACGGGATGAATCACCACCAGGTCGAATATAAATACATAATAAAAAAAAACGATGTTAAACCCAGGGTCGGAGAGAAAGGGAGATCCCGGCCGTCTTTGTATCCCCGCAGCGCGGGATAGGAGTGTGTATACGCTCGGGGAAACACCTCCACTTGAGTCAAGCACCACGATGGGAAACGACAGACCTTAGGTTACATACAGAATCATAACTGTGAAATAGTAAGGGACAAATGTTAACTTAAAACTTTTTAACCATTTCTTTGTGCGCCGGGTCGGAGAGAGTGTTGCCCCTCCCTCCAGGTTGTGCAACACGAACAAAGACGCCTATGAGACGATTTGTAACGTCTGTGTTTTGGGTTCATGAAGAAGGCCAGACAAGAGATAATATTGCACCCAGACAGAGAGACGACTTCGAGGCAATTTGTAACATCTGATTGTTTGCTCGTGGGTTTTATGGAGAGAGTGTGACAACGGAATATACCGTGGGTGATGCACACAAGGACATACGGACGTACGGACACACACATGGACACACCTGCCTACGGACAGATCCTGACACAGCAAAAATCGGAAGAAGCCCCGCCTTGTGGGCGGGATCCAGGGGGATTTTTCGGCATAAAGGAAAGGATCCTGAGCATTGGAAACTAGTGCGACCAGCGGGTCGACTCAGGAGCGAGTGCGACCAGCGGGTCGACTCAGGAGCGAGCTCGACCGGGAGGGTCGGCTCAGGAGCGAGCTGCGACCAGCGGGTCGGCTCGACTCATCTTCAGCTCGTCTGGGACTCAGCCGAGTTCGATCGGCTTACCAAAGCCGGCTCTCGGGGCTCGACTCAAGCGGCTCCCCATCTCCTCTGCAGGCGGGCAAGACCCGCTTGACAGCTCAACTCGGCCTGCGTGGGTCAACCTCTGCCGAGTCGGAGGTCTCTGCTGCCGCCGGAGTGGTGAGGGTCGCGGTTTGGCGACGAGGCTCCGTGCACACCCTGGTCGACGACCCAACACTGCACGCTGCGAGCGAGTTGTGGGCGCGACCTACCGACCGGGTTCCGAACTGCGACAGCGTATCAACGGGCATCTGAACCAGTTCACCACGGTGACAGGGGAGCGACTGATACGTATGACGCGCACCGCCCCCTCACCACACGACCACCAGGCGTCTGTTTGACATAAAGAATCGACTCCGAACACCGACTATTCAAGACAACTCTTACCACTCAAACACACTCGAACCCAGAAGCCATCCGTGGCTGGGAAGGCATCACAACGAGACCGAGTGATGGCCATCCGTCGTTTATAAGAGTATTCGTAATTTTTATCTTTAATATTTAGTGGGCTGTACTCTTAATCGCATAAATTCCCAACAGATCCATCAATACGAACTGATTATTGGCACCTCCTTCCGCCGAGCCACGCTCACGTGGGGAGTGGTGGCCCACCGGATCCTTATCAGGTGATCTGGTCTCCAATTAGTAAACTTGGTATAAGATAACGATCTTCGGAAAAGGAGCACCGTCGCAGGCCCTTACTCCGAGCCGTTCTGTTGTCAGATAACCTGCCGATGTATCTGTTGAGATTGGTGCCTTTAAGAATAATAACTGTTTTTGATTGTGTTTTTTTATCGCCGTATAATCTTTCAAGTATCTTTCAGTCATAATCGCCGCACGTACTCGCATCCTCTACAGAATATTCAACTGTCCCGTGACCCAAGGTGCTAACAACGTGATAAGGGTTGCGTATGATCAATAAGGAATGCGGTACTGCGTGAACAATGTTGAGTATGATCATTCATTAACGTTAAGGTTTTCTTAGCATAGTATTTGCATATTTTAACGACCCTCTCTCTCACTAACAACCATCGCGTTATGCGGGATCCATGTGCCGTTGTCAAAGTGAAATCAGACAATCGTTGATGATACTGTATTGATGCCGTGTTGACGTTCCGGGATTGAGAGTTCGCATACTATATCATAGTTAAGGTTGAATTAGTAATAAATTGATCAATACAGAAGTGGTTGTGTGATTCTTTCCTGAAATCTATGCATAAGATCTGCTTCTGCGTTGAGATCTGAACTTGGTGACCTTAATAAACACACTAATACATACTCAGTAAATGTTAAAGCGATAACGGGGTGAACCGGGGACCTAAAATATAACCACGAATACACACTCTGGGAATGTTAAAGCGAGAATGAGACGAACCTAGACAACGATGCCGAGTTAATCTAAGTTAATCTTGCATACTTACACCACACCTGCATAACTGCATACGATTAATTGCCTTATTCCGATCGATAACCCACCCTCATCACCGAGGCGGGGTCTGGTTATCATAACGACTTGCATTATCATAATTACACCCACTCGCATAATTAATACGATTACCTCTCGAATTGGCATAATTAAAATGTGCATAATTACATAAATTAACATATTTCCGGATAATTACACATTAGGCCAAATTTCATTTAATTATTATTATTTTCACTGAATATTCATAACCCACATATACAACATAATAATTTCACCCACGCACGCATACAACATAACAAATTTTGATAACCAACATATACAACACGAGGTTACAGCTCGCCGATGGCGCGGGCCCCCCCTCGTCTCCCACGACTCAACACATCGCGCCCCCCCCCCCCCCAGTTCACGCGCTCTCAGCATCCAGTGGAAGTTGCAGGTTTATTTTCTTCACGTGCGCATGTCCAGTCCTTTAGTGTTTCACTACAGTATTGTATTGTAGTGTTACACTACATGCATTCTATACATTTACGATACGCGTTTTAGTCAAAACAGTAGAAAATATTAATCATAGTTTACGTTTTAGAAAATACTTTCTGTTTCACGTTTGGGTTGATGTAGGGTAACATAAACACAATGAGGGGTGGGTTTTGTCGTATTCCGAACCGTGGACCAAACCCTCTGGTTTTACCATCTGCCTTTTGAGTTTTGCGAATCGCGGATTTGCCACTTGCGGATACTTTTAATAACGTAACCCCCCCACCCCTGGATGGGCAAAGTTTGGGTGTACACGATGACCACAACGACCACACTTGCGTACCAGAACACACCGCATAGCCCGGCCACGACACGTTCTTGTGGGGGACGACGCACGCCTCCCCGCTCCCCGTGAGCGGACGGGGCGCGACGTCCACCCCCTCCACTCCCACCTCCTCCTCCTCGTCGGCCGCCTCTCGCCGGGCCGCGCCGATCGGGTGATCGCCCCCCCCCCCCCCCGCGGCTTCTCTGAGCGACAAAGCTAATTGGCTGGCTCACCACCGCCCGGGGTTACCTCGCACG